CATCTCTTCTTTTCTGTGAAGAGGAAGGATGCCTTGCTTCCCAGGCAGCCCTCGTCCAGCACACACGTCCCATCTGGGCAGCACAGCTCCCTTGTGTAGATGCTGGTTATGGATTTATGCCCGGCACTCCTGCAGGAGGGACCTTCTCGGGTGGCAGTGGCAGGACCCTCCTCGCACACTGCCCAGACTCAGAGGCAGCTGGCTGTCCGTCCCAATGGCGAGGGGCAGGGGCGCAAGCCCTTTCCACTCCCTGCTAAATAAACAGGAATTCTGCTGATACTCCAGCCTTAGGAAAACAAAGCTGTTTCCATTTAGCTCGGCTTCTGGGCTGAGGTGCAGCTCCACCCGCACAATCATCCGTCGGGGCTTTGCTTCTCCGGGCAGAGATTCAGGCTGAGATCAAGAAGAGGGAGGATTTGCAGCTAGTCCATGCTGGGAGGGCCTCTAACACCCCCAGGATTTTGCTCTCCAGAGCACTCCGTGTTCCAAGCAGCACAGCGCTGGGGCCTCCCAGCTTCTGCAGCAGTTAGCAAGTCCCCACAGACGCCCATCTCTAAACCTCCGCTGAAGGGACTTGGGAAGTGGTACTCATTGCTCAGCCTGTATTTTAAGGGATGAAAGCTTGAGCATCACTAGCTCTGGTGGCAGCAAAGTAAACCCAGAGCTGCCCTTCTTCTAGCCACATCTTTCCCTGGGCAAGTGCTGAGCTCAGATAAGGCTGGGCATGTCTTCTTTAGTTCCAGGAAGAAGAAATAACCACATGGGCGAGCCAAGAATGCAGTGATTCTTCCCTGGTACCCCTCCAAAAAAAGGCACCAATGGCTATGTGCAACATGGCCGCAGCGACACCTGTGCTCAGCGCAATGCTTAAGTTGATGTCCACGTCCCCATCTGCCCAGGACTGCCAGCGTGCCCAGAAATGGATCTATGACAGCTACACTGGGAATGCCCACAGATCCATTTGCTAACCTTCACATCTGCCAGATGCAAATACGAACGAACCAGTACAAACAGTTGCGTATGACCAGTACAATCCTGTTGGTCAAGGAGCTGTTACTTCTCACCAAAGCTAAGGGCAGAAGACTAACAATAACTTATCTCCTGCTATCACAGTCATGCTTCCTGGGCTCTCCTAGTAGGGAAGCCACAGCAGGCATTGCTGCTTCTGCTTCCAGGTGTGAACTCTGGAGAGCCTGAGCACATCTGCCAGAAACAGGGCCATGAAAACAGGCAGCTGCCTCATCATGGTTTTCACCGAGGCTTTAAAGGCTCCTCCAGACTCGCAATGACTTCCTACCTCCAGACCAAGCTACCCTCCACAGTGAAGTGGAAGTCATCATAAGCAGCAAGTCCAACTAATTGAGGATAAGAATTCATTTTAAAGCAGTGCCACCACTCAGGCAAGTCGGGAATATTTTGGTCCAGGCCATTCCTGAAAAACCCAGGAGGCTGCTCTCCTAACTCTTTCTGAAGACTCGCTTCAGAACACACTGAAACCAAAATGAACCCCATCTCTGCTTAGCGAGCAAGTCCTTGGGGAAAATTCATGGGTTTTGTTCCATGTTTATACGTCATCTAATACAGTGTTGTTCTAGTGCACGACTTCAGAACTTCTGATTGCTACCTCCGTACAAACAAACACAAGTAAAGCCAACACATACACAAATAAACTAAAGGAGAAAGCAAATTCACTCATGTGAGGATTGATTTCCTGTCTTGGCACAACAAGATGAGGCTTAGAGGTCTATAAGCTCCAATTCTTGCGCAACTCCTCCTTGTTAACAATGCAAATATGCAGGGAGGTTGGGGATTGGTCATTTGTCCTGGATCTCATAGTCTTCTCACAACCACTGACTTGGAACCACCAGTGTCCCCTGTCCACTGAGAAACCTGGGGGCTTCTTCTACCTCTTCCTTATCAACAAAATCTGATAAGTAAGCCAGCTGTTGTGGGAGCATGGCAGGCTCACTAGAAAAAGTCAGTATCCCACCAGCACAACCCATCCAGGAGTAAAAAACCCAAGCTGTTCCTTTCGAACTTGATAGTAAGCTGAGCTCCAGTGAAGGTAACCCTGAGTTTGCAGTCCCTAAAAACTCATCCTTGTACTTGCAAATATGAGCAAGACCTACCTAGATCTGGGAATGCCAATATGCTTCTTGCTTTTGCTGCAACAGCCCAATTGTATGGAGAAGGCCTGATGCAGAATCACAGAAAGTACTTTAGTGGCAGCACAGAAAGAGGTGATGTTGCAACTGCAAGAAGCAGGCTCCAAGTTCAGACAAGTCTGAGAGCACGGTTTCATGAGACCAATGGTCTACCTAATGAGTGGCTTCCCTCAAAAGGAGAGTCCACCCCTTTCCTCCTCACTCCTAGCCATGCAATTCTGTCCAATCCTTCTGGTCCTGATGTAATATTTCAACAAGCCAATTTAGCCCACTGAAGTGGCAGAAAATTATCCTTAATTTTGCCGTGTTATTTTTTCACTGGTTTATTGAACTGAGCCAACTTACCCAGGGGCCAGATGAGCACCAACGCCAGTTCAAAGGAAGCAGTGGGAGGGCACGGGCAGGTGCAATGGTAGCAAGAGAGCACCATCGGCTGCAGATGCCCACTCTTACAGTGCTCCACAGCTAGCCCAGAAGTTGGCAGGCTGAAGGGGACACTCAAAAATATTTGGCAAACAATCCATCTAAGAGCAGCAAGACTTTTAGGTCATGCCAGTTGTCTGCCGTATGTTGCACGGTCCACAGACAAAACGTAAGCAACTGAATTGTGTGGGAAAATGCCCTGAGCAACTGAATTGTATGGGAAAATGCTCGGGGGCTAAAGTGAGGTGTTGCGATGCAGACCGGTGCCAGGGTGCAGGCAGCCCCACACCTGCCTGCACAGCACCGCTACACATCGCCCAGGCAGGGAAGGCACAGCACAGGACGGCTCCAGAAGGCAGTCAGTGGTGGCCGTGTCCCAGGGACCTACCTGCGGCCATCACA